ACAACTCTTCCTTTTGCTCCTCCACCATATGTAATACGTCCTCCATTCAGAAGCTGATAACTTCATAGATAGCTCTTATTCCTAGTCCTGTGCCTGGAACATCCACTGCCAAAATACCATGAACTTGAAAGGTTAGCATTTAACGAAGTATAGACAACCTTACATATAAGTTCCCCCTTTTGTATCCAAACTTGTCATGTTTTTTGTTTGATTTCACCTTTCTCTTGGAACTGTTCTTGGTAGTGACATGGGGCATTCAATACATCATCTTGTCACTGCTGAGTTTGTAGCAATAGGGACGGATGTGTCCGAATGAGAAACAATAGTGACACATATACCTTCTCTTCCTTGAGTGGACTTGACACTATGTTGCATACTTTTTCATTTTTCTCTCCTTCTTCATTCACGAAGACAGGTGTCTTCTTCCTTGTTTCTTGGACTTCATGTTTCTTGTATCCCAGACCATCATACATGTTTCTTTCGAAATTTCCAAGAGATACAATTTCCTCAAGTTTGGATGTTCCAGTATTGATCTTCTTTATTGTTAGGGCTGTTCCAATATTGATCTTCTTTATTGGGAAAGCCGTCTAGCTCTCATCGAATTCTCGTACAACAATAGCTTCCAATCTTCAATCGGAATTGCACCTTACGAAGCATTGTACAGAAGAAAATGCCATTCTCCAATCCATTGGGACGAAGTAGGAGAGTGAAAATTATTAGGACCAAAGCTAGTCCAATACATCGTCGGCATAATCAAGAATATTCGAGAGAAGATGAAAACCGCCCAAGATCGCCAACAAAAATACGCGAATAAGAGAAGACGAGACTTGGAATTCCAAGCCGGTGACCACGTATTCTTGAAAGTCGCTCCACTCAAGGAATCATGAGATTCATAAAACGAGGAAAGCTAAGCCCTCGATTCATCGGACCCGTCGAAATACTCGACCGATTTGGTGGCCAAGCCTATCGCTTCGCCCTATCACCTCAACTATCCAAAATCCACAATGTTTTTCACGTCTATATGCTCCGAAATATGTTCCCAACCCTAACCACATTCTTGAAACCGAACCAATTGATTTATCCCCGAACTTATCCTTTACCAAAGAACCCTCTCAAATATTAGACCGAAAAGTTAGGAAACTTCGAAACAAAAAAATTCGCCTAGTCAAAATCCTTTGGAGAAACCATTCTCCGGATGAGGCAACATGAGAACTAGAGGATGAGATTGTGAGTCGTTATCCGGAACTAATTGAAAAATGTACAAATTTTCGGGACAAATTTTTTTTAAGGGGGGAAGATTGTAACACCCCGCCTTTTCGGTAAATATAGTATTTTATTTTACCACCTCTATGTGCAAATTTTTTAAATTAGAAATTAGAATAATTCTTGCATGATTAATAGTTACGTGAATTATGTGATTATGTGAATTATGTGATTATGTGAATTATGTGGTTATGTGAATTATGTGATTACGTAAATTATGTGCTTAGGAAATATTTGGAGATATTATGTCGAAATAGATACTTCTCGAATTTGTAAAATAAAATATTTTCCATGAACTAAGATTTTATTCTTGCATACGAATATGAATGAGCATTTTATCATATTTATACATGCACTAAATTTTAGAAAATAAAATTTACTCATGCATTTTAGGATTATTAATTAGTAGAAAATCCTCCTCTCATTTTTTTGAATTGTCGGTCACTAATATACACACACATGATTTAAAAATTGCATTTTAATTAGGAGTAGACATGCATTAGAATGCTTGTACTTTGAGCATTAAAATAAATACCTAAAGGCTAGTCTTCCACTCACTAGCTAGGAGCACCTTTTTACCACTCACACACTCCACTTTAGTAATCCAAAGGTCACCCTTCTCCTTCCTTTCATATTCATTTTTGGCAGCCCCAAACCACCACCATAGCCACCACTTTCTCAAGCTCAAGCCACCCAAGAACCACCACCACACCTCTTCCAAAATATTGCAAAATCACCCCCACAAAAATATGTATTTCCCTTTCTTCTCCATTGGCTTTGAACTCTCAAAAAACTCTATAAATACCTCCAATATCTAAGATCAAAATGCACTCTCAAACTATCTATAAGTTCAAAGTCTCCTTCTATTTCAATAGGAGGAGAATTTCCGGCCAAGTCTATTCTTCCTCTTCTTTCTTCATTTTTTTTCGAAAGAGCTAAGCTCTTCTTCATCCAAGTTCTTCTTCTTCTTCTTCTTCTTATTTTTCTCAACATGTAATCTAACTATTTATCTCTTCTTGTATTAGATAGAAAAGAGCTAACAAATATTTCCCCTAAAGAGTAGAGGTGAGAATTCTTGAATTCTTGGTCAAACATACAACACCACTAGCATTTTTGGTTTTTATGCAATTTATTTGTTGATTCTTGCATATTATGTGGTTATATTGCTTATGTGATGATTGCATGTTAGTATTTTGAAAAGATAAGTTTGTTCTTGAAGTTCTATGTTTTTTCAAAAATTTGGGCGAAAATGCATAGCTTGCTTATTTGGTCTAATTAGTAGCTTGCATGTGTTTATCTAGTGATTAATTGTTAATTTGTGAAAAGAAATTTAATTTTTGGCTTAACTATGAAAATTTTGAAAATTTGGGGGAAATGCATAAGTTGCTTATTTGGCTTAATTAGTAGTTTGCATGTGTTTATCTAGTGGTTGATTGTTGATTTGTGAAAACAAATTGAATTTTTGGCTTAACTATGGAACTTTCGAATTTTGGGGTAAACATGCATAAATTGCTTATTTGGTTTATTTGGTATCTTGCATGTGTTAATCTAGTGTTTGATTGTTGATTTAAGGTCTTGGATGTTAAGATCTAATGATTGATTGTTGATTTAAGATCTTGCATGTTAAGATCTAGTGTTTTCTATGATGATTGATAAAATATAAAGAATTTGTACTAAACTTGATTAAAAGACTCTTGCATATGAAGATCTAGTGGAAATACTTGAATAAAATGCAAGAATGAAAGTGTTGAACTTTCTTCTTGCAAAATATTAGAATTGATGAACTTTTGATTATAGATTGTCTTTGCATGTTAAGATTATGGTAATTGCTTCTATTTGATTATGGATTTTATTTTTATGCCTAAATGACTATGAGAATAAATGACTATGCGGAACTTTATTTGTGTTTTTCTATGTGATGTTTCTTGGCTTGTTTATGTGTTAATCATTGGGTGTGAGGATGAGAAAAGGTTAAGTAGATGGGTGCATGTGTGGGTGCATAAGTGTCATGATTTTTAAAAGGTAAAAATATGTTGGAAAATCTTTCGAGGTTACGGTAAATAACCGGGGTACGACGAGTCGGTACCGTAGGGCCTAGGGGTGGTTTGATTCCACATAGATAGACGGATTCGTAAAATATGAAGTTATTTATCGGGAACTTAGATTGATTCTTTCAAAGGGATTCCCGATGATTTTTCATGTCATGCATGTCTCATTATGGTGTTGAAGATATAGGGCTATAAAAGTGAGAAGATCTCACTCTATGGTCTTGGAATCATAGGGTTATAGCGGTGGGATATTTTCACTCCATAATCTTCAATACGTGTCATGGCATAGGGTTATAAAGTTAGGATATTCTCACTCTATGGTCTTGGGATCATAGGGTTATAAAAGTGGGAATTTATCTCACTCTATGCGCTTGACAAGACTACGACGAAGAACTCCGACGAAAAGGGAAGTATATGATTGCTTTAATTTATGTTGCATGTATATGTATAATAAAAATATATGTATATATGTATGATATAAAGAGAAGATCTCACTCTATGGTCTTGGGATTATAGGGTTATAAACGTGGGATATTCTCACTCTATAATCTTCAATATGTGTCATGGCGTACGGTTATAAAGGTGGGATATTCTCACTCTATGGTCTTGGGATCATAGGATTACCCTATTTTGGATATTAAACCGGTAATCCGTAGTATTTTTTAAACGAAAGCGAATTTTTCAAACTATATGAACCTACGCTTTTCGGCTAGTAATTTCTCCGTGTCTTGTCTCGATGTTTGAAAATTATTTTCATATAGGTTCTTTGCTTAGAAAATCATGCAAATTTGTGAGTCTATGCATCTCTCTGTTCTCATCATTTTTATAGGTCTTATATATGGATTGGTTAATTATTTAATTAGTTATAAATTATTTCTCACTACTGCACTAAAACAGGGTCAGTTTAGTGTTCACTGTATAACTTGAGTTTTACTCACTCAAATACCTTGTTTCTACTTGGAAAATGTTTCAAACATATTTTCTGTCTTGGGATAAAATTTGGTAGTTTTTGGGTCAGTGAGGAATTTATTAGAAAAATTCAAAACTCCCTCCCCTGATAAGAGGAATTAATTTTTGAAGTTGCTCCACTAAATCTGTCCGAATTTTCATTAGGTCCATGATACCTAGTTATTTTCTAGTCTTGTATGTAGTATGTATTTGTGTTAATTAATTGATTAGGGTTTAGTATAGTGTGGCCTCTCTCCCTCTGATTTAAAAGAAAAAAATTGACGTAAATTTAAATTCACAATAATCATTTTTAGAAAGTATTCTGTTGAGATTACATATAATAAGAGTAATTGTGAGAGGGGTGCCACACATGAGGTGGTATCAGAGCAACGATCCCGGAAATCTCCATATGACCTAAAGATCTTCACGATTCTCAAACCACGACTTCAACTGAGCATTTGGGCAGGTATATGTTCTATGTGAAATCTTTATGACTAATGTGAATTGTTTCTATATGTATAAAGTATTAAAATGTCGGGAGCAAGAAATCGAGATCAAAATGCCGCTAACGATCCTCACAATTAATCTCGTACCATCCAAGACCTCATCTCCCTCGTCCGAGTACAAAATGAACAAATCAACCGCCTTGTTAACCTCCAAAACCGAAACCCTCCTCCACCTCCTCCACCTCTCCCACCTCGATATATATCCCCACAAGCCATCTACGAGCGATTCTTGAAAATGCATCGTACCGAATTCCACGGCGGCCCTAATCCAAATGTTGCCGAAGAATGGATCAAATCCCTCGAGGTCATCTTCAAATACATGGTGATGAACGACAGCGACCGAATCCATTGCGCACTATTCTTGTTGAAGAAGGAAGCCCGAAATTTGTGTGAAGGCGCAAAGAGTGGGAACGATCTAGAAAATACGACTTGGGAAGCTTTCAAAGTTCTTTTCTTCGAAAAGTACTTTTCCAAGAATGTCCGAGCACAAAATCTTAAAGAGTTTCTCGTACTCAAACAAGGAAACCTAACCGTTGTCGGATTCACTCACCATTTTGAGCAAGGAAGCCTCTACTCACCTTTCATATCCCAAGACGACACTGAGAAGATGAATCACTACCTAAGGGGCCTCAACCCGATAATCAAGCGTGACGTTCGACTAACCTCCGCTTCCACTTTCCGCGGAGTAGTGGATAAAGCCTTGGAAGCCGAACAAGACGAGATGGAAATCCGACAATGGAAACCTCCTCATGATGCCTCTTCTCGACCATGGAAGAAACTGAACCTCAACAACGTCAAAGGGAAGCAACCGATCAACCGAGCGACCGTGACCCCAAGCAACAAACCCTTTTGCCCTAAATACAATCAGGAACACTCAGGTAATTGTGTTGCCGGGACCAACCACTATTTTCGATGCTAGAAGCCCAGACATATGGTCCGAGACTGCCCAATTGCCCCGAGGCAAGTGCCGGGACGAGTATTCGCAATGACTAGAGACCAAGCCGAAGCCGAACAGTCAATGATCGCAGGTACCGTTAATGTCTATAATAATTCCGTGTATGCTCTCATCGATTTCGGATCAACTCACTCATTCATCTCAAGTACCCTCGTTGCCGAACTCCATCTAGTCCGTACTCAAGTTGATGCCTTGTTTAGCATACTTGTTCCTTCCGATGATGAACTTAAATCCAATTTCATCATCAAAGATTGCCCTATTTACATTCATAACCAAACCCTAGCTAGCCTCCGATCTAATGTGTTATAGTTGATTGATTCATGTGATTTCATATATATATATATATATATATATATATATATATATATATATATATATATATATATATATATATATATATATATATATATATATATATATATATATATATATATATATATATTTGATTGATTCTTTGAGCTATTCTACTCTAGACTATAGATGATATAAATATATATATATATATATATATATATATGTGTGTGTGTGTGTGTGTTCGGTTTTATGTGTGTGTGAGAGGGATTAGTGACTTTATTAATTTCAAAATAAAATTAGAAAATATGCATGCTTTTCCACATGTCCAAGTGTAATGAATTATACTAATACGACACTCAATGTGGATTAGTAAAATCAAAAGACACTCTTTCATTCTCTTCTATCTCCACCTCACTCCACACTTGGCTTTTCTTCACCATCACCACCGAAACATCACCACCTCCATCGGCCAACACCTCATCTTCCTCAAAGAAAAAAAATAAGGAAATTCAAGATGCAAATCCCCTATATAAGCTTCACTCTTGTGTATGCTAAAAACACCATAAAAAACACTTGCCCTCTTACGGGAGATCAAAATTCCTCCCAACTTGATATCAAATCTCTCACCTTCTCCATTCAACTAGCTTGGTTCGATTTTGGAGCAAACTCTTAAAGGAGGTAACATTGTGTTTAGAAGAGTCTTCATTTTCCTCTTCTATTAACTATTTTCGTATATATATATATATATATATATATATATATATATATATATATTAAAAATTACTATCTCACACAGTAATATTACTGTCTCAAACAGTTAAATTACTGTCTCCGACAGTTAAATTATTGTTGGAGACAGTAATTTAGCAGCTAAGACAGTAATATTAATTAAAATATTTTTTTTAAGAAAAAAACTAGTTTAAAATAAAAGTCAACGCGGGAGACCGGCGGTCAACATCGGTTAACCTGCCGAAAAAAAAAAATTAGAAAAAAAATTCAACACCGAAGACCGGCGGTCTCGAGCGGTGGCGGGTCAAAATTGGGGTCAAAATTGGTTCATTGGTGAAATTTGGCCAAGTTGGGGTGTAAATCATGAAATTGTAGTTGAATTAAGGTTTCAAGGAATTAGGGGTAATTTTGGTATATATAAAAGAATTATACTTATTTGCAAATAAGTTTGAATGACTTAAATTTATTTGGAAGATAAAAAAGTTGGATGTCTATTTTTTAATGAAGTGCCCTTGTCATGAGCCTATTTGCCATTTACCAAAAACATTAATACATCATTACAATTATTATAATGTGATATACAATAAAAGATAAACATTTTTTGTCCAAAGTCACGATTAATATAAAATTGAAAGATGATTTATTATATACGAGCAATTTTCCCTGTGCAATGTACAAACAACGGGATAGCATTGCAAAAATGAAGAAAGTTTAAATACATGTTATGAAATTACATTAAAAAAATTACACAATTACTTTTATATATAAAGATAAAAAGAATATACTAAATAGGAAAACATAAATTAATCAAATCACCCGGCTTGTACAAATGTTCAGTGGCGGAGCCACCCTTTGGCAAGGGTGGGCTCCAGCCCACTCTCATTTTTTAAAAATTTATACTATATATTATATCTATATATTATTAGCCCCCCAATAGTTTAATTTAGCCCACCCAAATAATTTAGTCTAGCTTATTTACCAAAAAAATTATGTTATATTAGTTGAAGTTTATAATTTGTAGTTATTTTATGCTATTTTATGTTAATGAATAAAAAAAAATCGGGGGCGCTGCCCCCGAACCCCCGTCAATGTTAAGCCCACCCACCCATGTAATTTAGTATAGCTTATATTATTTTAAATTTATAAATTTGTAGTTATTTTGTGCTATATTTTTATGTGAATGAATCAAAACAAAAATCGAGGGTTCTGGCCCCCGAACCCCCGTTAATGTTAAAGCCCACCCTGTCTTGAATTCCTGGCTCCGCCACTGCAAATGTTTATACATTTTTCTATTTATTTGCTCTTTGTTAGAAATAATTAACATTTCGAATATATATTAACCACAAAATAAATTGTTTACAAAGAAATTGCAAAAATTAAAAAAAAAAGTAAAAAAGAAAAAGAAAAAAAAAACTATCGGAGTGGATTAGAATTTTCATAGCCAATATGCAAATGTGATTTCTTATGAAAATCATTAGAGAAAAAAAGGCCGGAAAATGGGGATGAAAAAAATAGTAATAATAAATTTTAAAAAATATATTTATAATTAATTAACTAAATTATAATTAATGTTGAAATAATTATACCTTTGGAATTAATTATAATATTATGTCGAGTTTTTATTTTTCAAACTGTCAAAAATACATTAAATAATACGATTGCACTTTTACTTTGTATTCATATATCGTAATGCAATATGTATATACTTCGTATTCGACTATTTAGTTTTTATATCTGTAAATTTCAATCTAAAAAAATTATATATATAAGGGTTTCGAGTACATTTATCTTAAACTACGATTATAATTTCGATTAAAATGTACACATAATGGCAATATTTTTTTTAATACATACATATATGTTACATATATAATTAAATAGTAAATCCAAAATTTTACTTCAAATTTGTTGTCTTATGAGTAGCAACGGTCAAGATAATATGCAGTTTGTTTGACAAATTTTAAAAACTAGGTTTGAAAAAGGGCAAATGGCAAATAGGCCCATGACAAGGACACTTAATTAAAAGAGGAATATCCAATTTTTTTGTCTTTCAACTAAATCCAGTTCATTCAAACTTATTTGCAATTAAGGAAAATCCTTTTATATATACTAAAATTACCCCCAATTCATTGAGACCCAATTCAACTCCAATTTCATGATTTACACCCTAATTTAGCCCAATTGCATCAATTAACCAATTTTAACCATAATTTCAATTTTGACCCGCCACCACTGGAGACTGCCGGTCAGCAGCCGTTGACCACCGGTCTCCGACTTGACTTTTTTTTTTTTTTTAAACTTTTTTTGTCCTGTAGGTCAACCGCCGGGTCTCCGGCGTCGACTTTTTTTTTTATAATTTTTTTTCTTAAAAATAATATTTTAATTAATATTAATGTCGTGGCTACTAAATTACTGTCTCCAACAGTTACTTAACTGTCGGAGACAGTTATTTAACTGTTAATTGACCTTTTTTTTCCTTCAAAAATATATTAATTAATATTACTGTCTTGGTTGCTAAATTACTGTCTCCAGAATTTATTTAACTGTCGGTGACAATATAATTTAACTGTTAATTGACTTTTATTTTTTCATATTACTGTATTCGTTGCTAAATTACTGTCTCCAGCAGTTATTTAACTGTCAGACACAGTAATTTAACTGTTAATTGAATTTTTTATTCTTAATAAAATATATTTAATTAATATTACTGTCTTGACTGTCAAATATTGTTAATTTTTTTTTTTTGAATTGTTTTTTCTTAAAAAAAATATTTTAATTAATATTACTGCCTTGACTGCTAAATTACTGTCTCCAACAGTAATTTAACTGTCTTAGACAGTAATATTAATAACATTACTGTTCGGGAAATAATATTCATAATATTACTGTCCCAAACAGTACTATTACTGTCTGAGACAGTAATTTAGTAGCCAAGACAATAATATTAATTAAAACATTTTTTTCTAAGAAAAAAAAATCGAAAAAACAAAAGAGTCGATGACGGAGACCGGCGGTCAACGGTGGTTGACCGGCCGGAAAAAAAATTCAGAAAAAAAAAAAGTTTTCAAAAAAAAAAAAAAAAGTCAACGTCGGAATCTGGCCGGAAAAAAAATCAAAAAAAAAATATTTGTTCAAAAAATTATTATTTTGGGGGTTAATGTGATATATTTGTTTAAATCCGGGGTCAATGTGTAATATTAAGGAATTAGAGCATAATGGATGGAATTGATAAGAATTATATTATGGAGGGTAGTTTAGACTAAAAATATGTGGATGGATTTATTTGAGAGTCTGTTTTTTGTGGACTAATATGCATTTAAGTCTGATGTGATTGGCCTTTTGGCCATTCGCCTTTTGAAAAATTATCTGCGACATAAAATTTCAAATCCATACAACATTCCTCATATGGAATATGATAAATATCATTTTTGTTTTAGTAGTACCTTTACGACTTCAAAAGCGATCTTGACCATTTTCGAGGCACAATCTTGCAAAATTCAAAACACATAATTGGTAGTTCTTTGAATTAGGTTTTTAATCCAACATAAATAACTAAAATTAGATGTCGGGTGAAAAATATATACATGAACCATCCAAAAAATTGAGAAATATGTACATTTATGGCATGTAATTTTTGGATAATATTTAGGCAGTTAATATTTAGGCTTATCCAAAACTCTTGCGGAAAAACATTTAATGTTCTTTCCTTATTACACTAGTAAATATTTCATGGTTTTTCCCGGTACGTTTTGTATAACTGATCGGATAATTATTCTATTATTTTATTTCATGGTAAATAAATCCATATATAGTAAATTCAATCTAAGCTATTATGAGCAACGACCATAATTTTTAATTAGTCTTGATCTTCATTCGTGAAATTCAAAATAATTTTCAAATTAGATCATATTCAAGATGAATCTAGTTTCAAAAATCATAAAAATGTATATATGTTTTTCATTTATGGTAAGAAAATCTTTTGGTGGTTATTTTGGATAAGGTGAGAAATATAATTTTGATCACTATATATATAACTGTCCCCTCCAGAAAGGGTACCAACACACAACTATCTATTTTTCATAACTCATTTTTCAATATAAATTATGTTTAATTATTTAATTACATTAGCTATTTTATTTGTCGTAAGTACAAAATATTGTTTTTGTATGGATTCACAATCATTGAACAATTCTTTTGTTAGTGGTTTTTCACCCGCAGTAGCAACATGGTACGGAAGTCCCAATGGAGCTGGAAGTGGTAATATTTATTAATATGGGTAAATTACAAACACCCCCCTGAGGTATGGTCAAATTACAAAAACACCCCTCTTGTTTGGATAATTACAACCACCCCCTCAACTCCTCAAATTTAGTGGAATCTTCGAGATTGCATGGAATATTATCACTTGTGTACCCGTTTTATCCCATTCAAACTCTACATTATGGAGCAAGATGATCATAATATGTGATTTTTAGCTTGTATATATCAGTTTGTGGTGCATCGGAAACTGTATTTTTACACAAAACGAGTACAAACTAGAGCACATTCCACGGAATCTAGATGATTATGTTGAATTTGGCACAATAAGGGTGGAGGTGTAAGAAAAAATCATAGTTGAGGGGGGTAGATGTAATTATCCAAACAAGAGGGGGATTTTTGTAATTTGACCATACCTCAGGGGGGTGTTTGTAATTTACCCTTATTAATATTAATATTAATATTTATCTTTTTTTCATGTTCAAATATTATATATATTTATAATTAAATATAAAAGATATATTTATTTATTTTATTGTAATTTGCAGGTGGAGCTTGTGGATTTGCAAATGATGTGGCAAATCCTCCATACAATGGTCTTATTTCTGCTGGAAACCAAAATATATTCAAACATGGACAGGGTTGTGGGAATTGTTATCAGGTTTTAATTAATATTATTCATTTTCAAGATATAAAAATGGATTCTCTTTCATAATTGATATAGAATATTCTAATTTATTTATATGTATTTCAGGTAAAGTGCAACGAAAATCCAGCGTGCTCGGGTTTCCCGATCGTTGTAACTGTCACAGACGAATGTCCTGGTACATGCAACAATGAAGCATTTCATTTTGACTTGAGTGGAAAAGCTTTCGGATATTTGGCGAAGCTCGGCCAAGCCGATAAATTACGGAATGCAGGAAGAATTAATATCCAATATCAAAGGTAATCTAGATCGATCAACCCCATTAGGGAAATTCGTAATTTGTTATAGTTAGAAATTTAGTCCTCCCGTTTTGTTACCGGTTCAAATTTACACGCAATAACTTTTTAAATTTATCATTTTCATCCTAGAGTACTCTATTAAGAGTCTTAGACTATACTAGAGAATGAATTTATAATTCTTAACTTTTTATATAACTTTAACCAACAAAAAAACCTGAAAACTTTGGCAAAATATGACCAAAAATGTTTTAATTTAATTTAATCCAAATTTATGTATTGCAAGTAAATTAAATTGGACAAGTTAAAGCCCAATGGAGGAAATTTATATGACTACTAATATTATAATTTAAAATTTTCTTAATTATGTTGGTAAATTAATTAGGCGGAGTTTTAATGTGTTCAAATATTGCAGGGTTCCATGTAAATACAACACGGGTATAACATTCAAGATTGATACGGGCTCCAACGCTAACTATCTTGCGTTTTCGATTGAGTTTGTGGGTGGAGATGGTGATATTGGTTCTGTTGAACTATTGCCTTCAAAGTCAAAAGGTCCGTTGTACATGCAAAAATCTTGGGGCTGCACGTGGAAAGTTGGAATACCCTTTGGAACAAAGGGCCCTTATTCTGTAAAGCTAACTACTATTGAATCGAGAAGTACAATTATCGCGACAAATGCGATTCTCGGGAATTGGTCTCCCGGCAAATACTATCACTCGGCAGCTAATTTCTCTTAATCATGCATATATGATTCGATCAACCATCGATTGATTGTTAAGATATATGTATCAATTCAAGTTGATAGAGCATATCTTTTATGTCACTTGATTAGGTCATTAATCATGTTTTGACATGGATATTATAGGTGTTTAAAGTATTTTTTTTTATTTTTTTATCTTGTCCTCAAAAGAAAAATGTTGGTTTTTGAAGACTTTAAAATGATTTACAATTGGTTGTAAAAAATAAAGTTTTGGCTCGTTTTTTGCAACACATTGAATGATCATCTACTTATTCATAAAGAGATCCAAGCAATAAATTCATTTACAAAAAAGTCCACACATGGTCCAAAATTTTGTAAAAGACTAAAATAGCCCCTCATACTTTAATATGCTGCAATTACATCATTTAATTTAATTTAACCTTAATTTTACCCCAAATTTCACAAATTCTAACCCAAAATACATTTTTATCGACAATTTCATCCGTCACCGCCGTTGACTTTTTATTTTTTCTCCTGACTTTTCCGCCACCGATTTCCAGCGGTCAAAGACGGTCTTCGGCGTTGACTTTTTCGATTTTTTTTCTTTCTTACTGTAACATCTTTTCTTTTTCGTTTTAACAGCAACAGTGTTGTGATTGACAATAATATTAACTATATTACTGTTAAACACAATAAAATTAACTATACTATAGTTTAACACAATAATATTGTTATATTAATCTTTCATAGTAATATTAACACAACAAAACTCATTATTATTGTGTAATAGAGTAATATTACTATGTTGATCGTTCCACAAATGTAAACATAATAAAAAGCCAAAAGAATTAATATTACTGTGAGTGATAGTAATATTACTATAACAACAGTAATATTACCGCCAACCAGAGTAATATTACAATAAAAGACAGTAATATTATCATGTTACTCCGTGAATAACTCAAACAAACAAAAAAACCCAAACAAAATAATAATATTGATGTGGTTGACAGTAATATTACTATAACAACAGTAATTTTACCGTCAACCACAATAATATTATTGAGTTTACAGTAATATTACAATAATAGACAGTAATATTATTACGTTAATCCGTGAATATTATTACAAAAAAAAAATATTTTATTGGTTGACAATAATAATATTGTGTTTACACTCATTTTACTGTCAACGACAGTAATATAATTCCGTTGACATGTCAACAAATCAAACAAAATTAAAAAAAATAACAAAAAAAATAATAACAATAGTATTACGTTAATTTACTGTCAACGGCAGAACAATTACATAAAAGTGTTGTCAACGACAGTACAATTACGTTAATGTACTGTAATTGACTGTATAATTACGTTAATTTACTGTTAGCGACAACACAATTACGGTTAACATTTAGCGGCGGACGTAAAAAAAAAATGTCAACACCGGAATCCAACGGCGGAAAAAACAGACTAGAAAAAAAATCGAAAAGTCAACGCCAGAATCCGGTGGCAAAATTTTTTTTTTTGAAAAAATAAATCAAAATTGGATTTTTTTGGTCAAAATTGATTAAATTGGGGTTACAATTAAGAATTTAGTATAAAAGGGTTGGGGCTAATTTTGTTATATACATGAATGTTTCCTTTATTTATAATAAATATTAAAGGGATGGGCTTATTGGTGAAAGAGATATACCCCTAAACCTAGAATAATAAAGATATTTGGATAGAGACATGTGCGGAAAGACCCCATTACATTTTTGGTGTGTCTCATTTTCACAAAGTTAATTAGGATGAGTGTGCGGGTGAATTAGAGTGAAACTCATACATTTGGGGTTTCGATTTCACAATAGGGTTAGTTAATAGGATCAATACGAATTCTATATAATTTTGGAAAAACTAATTAATTATTCGATAATTATGTAAATGTTTTGCATATTTCTATCATAATAAAGACTTTGAAGTCGTTTTTCCCCCTTGGGGAACCATATAAATGTAATACATTCTTAGTAGAAAATAATAATATTATTGCTTGGACCTTTTTTTTATATAAGAATTTGTATTACTTGGACATGAAAAATATAAAATTATTAGGATAGTGAAGACCAACCGAAACGCTATTCATAGAGCAACTTTTGCTTGCTTGCAGTGCAACTTTATGTTATTTGGAACTTTCTCACATTATTTTTGAAATATGGGCATTTCGTGCAAGGAAGCACAATGACTTCATCCATTTCGTGGAAATAGAAATACTATGGTCTTATTGTTTAAGATACAAAACACAAAATAATGTGCTTTGTTTTTTTAAGGCGATTCATGTAGATACACACGAAACATGAAGATGCTATTCGTGTAGAACCACATAAAACACTACCTAGTGTTTCGTGTTTGTACACACAATCACTAATAATTTTTTTTATCAGATCATTGTTAACAGTATATACAACAGCAATAGAAAACTTAAAATTATGATCAAATAAAAATTAAACTAAAATTCAAATAGAAATTACAAATAAATAACATCTCGTAAGCTACATACCAGACTTTAAGTTTTGTACATATGCAGTCGAGGTTTGCACGTTTTGAGTAAGTGCTTCAGGTTCTTGTTTCTTTGACGTATCTATGCCGGATGGAGGGATGGTAGAGGACAATTCGCGACAAAATAAGCAAGCATGAAATGATTGTTGTACAATGTCATAGTAGTCATGTATGATAATTGACCATTGCAAAACATAGGAAGATAAGTCATATTTTCGATTTGGGTCAAAAGTACCACCATTGCATTGTATTTAGTAGCAATATTCAATCCCATTCCCCTCATGTCCATCAAATATGCTTGCGGACAAGGACCTGTAGGCCAAACACACATGCGTTTCACCTGAATGTATCCAACATTTCTAAACATCGATGTTTACATATCAGCAGGTTAGTACAACTCCATAAGCAAATCCCCTCTTACGTGCGGCCGTCTTTCTTGATCCTCGTAAATGACTTGAGCAACGCACCCATACCCACAATTACCATTTTCCATCACATTAACATATGACGTAATCAGTCGGACTAGAAATTGTGGCACCAAAGTTTGTGTGGATTTACGACTTCCACAACTTTCATCTTTGATTGAGGTGTTCCATCAGTGGTACTATACGTCTTCGCTTTGGTGTTGCTGTAGTGGAGGTTTGAAGATCCTTGAAACCAGAAGACAATTTAATTGTTGCAGCATCAAGATGGTATTGTTAGGCGAAGGGATCTCTTTTTGTTGAGTTATTCTTTGGTCGTCCTTTGATCTTAATATATGATGGTTCTGATAAATGAGTCGTAGAAGGATAAAAGATGCCACGCAATAAGGTCACAACATTCCATTTGGTCTTGTAATTTTTCCCATTTAGGCCATGATACAAATCATCAATCTGATTATATACAGCTGCCTCGCGGTTTGATTGATATTCAGGTAGGTCCGAAGGTTCAACTGCCATTGTACTACAGAATGGTACAAGTCTGAAATGACAAACATTATACTTTCGTGCATTTTTTTGTACAATTTGGCACGCACATGGGAGCGTATGAGTATCTCTAAGATAGTGAGTACAACAAATCAGATCATGCATCAACGGGGACTCAATCTCTTCGTCCAACTTTTCCAATGCCAGATGTGTGATGTAACAAATCAAATTTTCAAAGCACAACCACGCTGCAATATGCTTCCTTATTTCGGATGATAATGAACAGTCTCCCTTCAACTGACTAACTCGACTATAAACTGGGTCCCTAAGCTTATTTTGTACGTTATTAACACCTTCAGTCGAAGCATTTAACCAACCATTGACTGACGAATGAGAACTCTCCACCCTGTCCAATTATATAGATAATCAAATTATAATAAACATTATTTTAGTATTATATATTTTATCATTCAAATAACTATAACATGGATTACCTGTTGGTGGTCGTGTTACCAAAATAATACACCTAACGAGTATAGGCTCTGACAAACTTGTCCTTGTAAATCAATAACGTATCGTTCAAATACTATATTATTCTGGGTATCCTCCATACCGTCCAACCATTTCATTATAGTTGTATTGATACTCTTCAACGATTTATGATTTAACCAGTTTAGCTTATTTCTCATGTCGGAATTTAAGACCTTGGTCTTTGTTGCCTCCCATAAATTTCAATGCATATGCCTCAACATTTGTATTTATATGGAATAAACACATGATACGACACTAGAAAAAACTCAGGGCAGTGCTTTCAAGAGACTCGACTCCCTTGTCCGTCAAGATTGCATCAGGTTCAGCACCATCAAATAACTCTCTCAAACAATTCAAAGTCCATTCATAGGTGTTTGCATCTTCATGAAACATAAATGCAACAACAATCGTGTAATTTTTGCCAATGGGAGTAATCCTATTTATTTCGAAAAGAGGCATTCCATACCTACATCAAACAATTTTACACATAAAATTCAGTTATTGAAAGTAAAATAAATTATAAAATTACAATTACATTTAAACAATCATAGAAGTTTTGATGAAAACCCCGTAAAACTTGTTACGAGATCCAATACCTTACGCGGAAGTAAAAACACGCAACGTCCAAAACAAAGAATTCTAGTTTGCGGAAGCAAGGAATAATGACCCCATAGTTATAAAGAGCTAGAAACCATTATTATCAAGGTGAAATATAATATTGACCCCATGGTTATAAAGAACCAGAGAACCAATAATAAGACGCTAAGAAAATTACATGAATCCCCTTGTAAAATCCCAAAATTTGCTGTAAAACAGCGAAAGAGAATTAATATCACCAAATACTCAAATATTCATTAAAATTCGTCCATAATAAAAGGTTATCACTACCATTAAAATTTGTTAATATACTTTAAGAGCTATGGCACCCGCTTCACGATTACTCTTATTATATATAATCTCAGCGGAAGACTTTTAGGAAAATGATTATTGTGCATATAAATTTACGTCAAAATTTTTCTTTTAAATCAGAGGGAGAGAGAGCATATTTATTTTAACCATAATCAACAAAATAACATAAATACATAGTACGTGCAAGACTAGAATATTCGAACAGATTC